ACCTCTAACCTCCACCGTGGCTTGGTAGAGGTGCGGACTCACCTTGAGTCTCTTCTTATGATCATTTCATTCGCATTTGAGCACCGACAAGAAGCCGCCCAAGAGTTTTGGGCTGATCCTGATGGGAATCTCTATGGCTTCCTTCAGTGGGCGTCTAAACGACAGACTGTTCCTCGGGTCAGTGCTTTTTGCGAAATGTTGTGTTCGATATCCGAAGGAGAAGAAAATGCAGCTGCGGCACATCGGTTTCTGTCGGAGGAAGACAAGTTTATGTCTTCCAAGTTCAAGCGATCCACAACCATGAACTGGTCACAAATGTTCGCTGAACTGAAGCTTTACGCGTCTCGGGTCACTGAGAAGCCTTCCACTACTACAAGCCCCCAAGGGGCGCCAGGGATCTTTCGTCCACGGAAACCAGAGCCCGTGGAAATGAACGAGCCTGAAAGCCCAGTGATGCTGACATGTTACCTTCGGCTGATAGGCCACTTGTGCAAGCAGAGTCGACCTATCCGAGAGTGGATGCTGCAAAATGAATCCTTCAATGTAGTTAGCACACTGCTAGACCTGTGCAGTGGGCCGATTCCATCGCATCTTCGGGCAACTACCTTTTTAACTCTCTCAGCATTGATGACTGACAAATGCTCCCCCGTTGGAAAGGAAACGTGGGCCCGTCTCGATGGGTGGCTATCAGGAGGAACAGGTGCGTCCGGAATTGGCAAAGTTCCTTTGGTTTCCAACCCTGCCGTTTGGCACCAGCAACAAGCCTTGCAAAAGATCGGGGAGAGCTTTGACCAGACGAATGCATTTGTTGTTCTTATCAATGCACTTACTGCTCCTTCGTCCGACTCAATTGACGACCCAATGTCGCTGCCTTTCCCGGAGACCCTAGGTGGAACTTATCGCATGTCCGGGATTGAGCCTTACATCGATTTCATCTTGGGGCATGCCTTTTCGCGGAAGATTCAAGATCTTAATGAGTATCAGTCCCGCCTGTTGAACTTCAACTGTCTAGACTTCGTTGTGGCAAGCTTAAAATCCTTCAATGAAGACCTAGTGTTACTTCTGAGTCAGCCATCCGTGTCCGATTCCCCGACGCAGACTTCATCGCTGCTCACCTACGTTCGGTTGCACCCGTTTGCTCGCGTGGTAGACTGGCTTTTTAACGAAGACGTACTCAAATCTTTGTTTGCAACGTCTAAACAAGACGTTTCGGACGTTGCTACCGCGTCGCCCGACTCTGTTCTGGTTCTAACTTTGCACCGGAGTCTGGAGGTTATGAACTTACTCGTGGACCTGCAATCGACATACTTTAACATTGTCAAACCTCTGGTGCATTCCCAGCCCGTACCTTCCCGGACCATCGTGGCAAACTCCTCGCTCGCTTCATTTGAGGACACCGTGCTGAACAATCTGACACTCATCCCGTCACTCTGTCTCTATTGTGGCACAGCGCATGAACAACTCACCGTCATTTCCATGGCTTTGCTAGAAAAGCTTACTAGTTCCAGAAAGCTCAACAAGATGACTTCGCCAGAACTCGTCAAGTGGCAATCTTCGAACAAGATTGTAGAGGTGCTTGCATCCGAGGTCGACGTGGACAGCATATCGCTGCCTCTTGTGTTACAAATGGAACCAGATATTAGAGAGCTTGATTTCGGCCCGAATGCTGCTGGCTATGTCATTCGGGAAAGCCTTCTTGCTCTGTTGAACAGCTGCCTAGGAACGATCACAGACCGCCCAACGGTAGCCCATCTGCTGCTGGGCTTCGACTGCGTGGGCAACATTCTCGATGTGTCATCGGAAGGGCTATTCGCGAATCAAAGTTCCTTGCTGCATGCCATTGTGAATTTCCTGAAGGCTTATCCGGAGATCCTCGATGGTGGCATTATATCTTGGGTAGTGCACCTCAAACGTATGGCTTTTGAAGTGCTGAAGCATCTGTGGTCATCGAAGCTGGCAAGTTACTACACCCTTGGTGAAATGCGTGCTCAGGCGTTCCTGCGTGAGATGTTTGCCTACCAACCGATCATTGGCCCGAGCACTGCCTGGAATGGATTCCCCATTGATTCAGATGAATTTTGGCTCACAGACGCTGCCACTGCCTTAGCAGAATTCCTGCTTTACCGGAGTCATCTCTTCACATATGCCGCAACCGAGGTTCGCTCGACAGCAAAGGCTAGATCACCAGCTCTACATGCCCAAATACTTTCAGTGTTGCTTGGAAATACGCTTGCGGATAACGGTGAACCGGTATCTAGTCCTTCCGTGTTCGATCTTTTCGATTTCGCAGACCTTGATGTTGGGCGCGAGTTCAACATGCCCCAGCTTTACTTGCTCGGTGATGTTGCTCTCCAATTAGAAAGCAAGCGGGAGGAGGGCGTGTACAGTATGGAAGGTGTAGAGGAGATGATACAAATGCGGAAAGCAGAACTCACGGCCAATGGACCGCTCCGCCCACATGATGAGGAGCAGTTGCTAGCTGAGGCTAATGAGCTGAAGTTGTTCATCCTTGCAACGAAGCAAAACAGCCTGATCCAAATCAATCGCTATCACGCCCTCCGTTCATGGGTAGAGCTCGTTGCTACGATGATCACTTGCTCTGCTATCGACGAAGGAAGCAGGCCGGCTTTCATTCTACATTCAATCCAATTGATTCTACCAAAGCTCACAACGGCAATCGAGGCGGATCTTCCCGAAGCACTTGAACTGGCACGACTGGCTGAATTGTTGATCGGTAGACTTGCGTCCGAGCCATCGGCAACAGATGCGTCTCGAAGCGGGGATGTCATCGACGAAAAGCTCCACCAGCTCTTTCAACTCTGCATCCGGGGTACCAACCTGGCGACAGGAAATGTGTTGTTGAGAGAAACGCTTTACAGTATTTGTTCCCACTACATAACACGCATCACATCGTCGGACAAGGGCCATGAAAACCTACGACGTCTTAGCCAACATGTCATCAAAGCAGCCGGTTCTAGCCTGATTGAGACTATGTGCGATGACGCATATACTGGTCAAGAGTCGTGCCGTGCATCCGCTCTTGTGCTATTGAACAGTTTAGCTGTTCTGGATCGCCAAACTGATTGTGTTTTGGCTGAGTTAATCTCGAGGTCGAACTATTTGAGTCTATTCCTGGATGCCTTGCGTTCTCTTCCCCTCGAACTTCACAATGCTCAGGGAAGCGGTCAGTCATTCCCCCTTCGAAACAGTCATGTTATTACAACTAATCAAAACTCCAGACACCCCGGCACTACTGGCATACTATGAGTCGCTTTTATCATTACTTCAGCGGCTGTCTCAAACTAAGGGCGGAGCAAATTGTGTGCTCAACTCTGGTCTTTTCCAAGCCGTGCACGAATCGCGACTTTTCGCTGCCGATCCAGACATCGGCATTGGTTAGTCAATCATATCCTGGCCCAATGTACCTTGCTAATTCCCTCAGACATTGAAAATCCTGACGCCCTCCAGAGGTATTACGATCTTCTCCTTTCAGTCCTTCAGGTCATCGTGTATGCGGTTTTCTCTCGAGGTATCCACAACGAACAAATCAAAGAGCAGACCCGCATTTTTTTGGCTGAAAATCGGCCATGCATGGTGGGTATCTTCAAACGATCTGCCAAGATCGGAAATACATCAACCGCCCACCACGAGACTCTATGTGAACTAGTTAAGACTTTCATGGCTCTTGTTACTGCCACAGATTTCATAGAGGTATGTTCTCTCTTCTTTTCATTTTTTGCAATCTATTGGGTCGAATTAAGGATCATGTGACTGACTGAGTGTAGTTCGAGGACCAGGAAGTCCAACATATCGCCCGACCAGCGTTGTTCTCATGAGCCTTTGCCCACTGATGCTCACTAGGGAATTGAGAAGAAATGCATGTATCATTATGACCCGGTGGAGTGCAGGCGGTTCCCAGGTTGAGCGATTTTACTTTGAATTCATTTGCATCACATCTAATTCGTCATGTGTAAGACGTCCGCCCACTTCGGTATCTCGGCCTTATGATGGCTATCTTTCGTAGGAATGAGTGCTATGTTCGCTCTTGCAAAGTAACAAAGTCAGCACTCAAGTTCCTGGGTCGAGCGGCTATGTTTCCCAGACGGAGAAGCTATCCGTCGGGGCGTACCTAGAAAATCCACACCCGGAATCTCGCAATGAAGCTTTGGGCGCATCTCCAAAGGTCATGACGATAGTTCTTTGGGACCATTGGTCTCTATAAGATTCATGAAACAATCCGGTATTTGAGGGGGCCTGTCTCGGTCACTGATCTAAGGGGACAATTCCATAGAGTATATTCGAGTCTTACTGTATATGATCGATGAGATTAGAAATCGAAGAGAATAATATCACAATATCCATATAAGTATAACAACCACGCAACTGCAACTTTGATACATTTGTAGGGTGCATTCGCCAGTCTTTTCTGGTGTATTTTGTGCTATCTTGTTGGATGTCTTTTTTGATGGGGGGTTTTTTCCATCTTCTAGCCATCATAGAGAGTGACAGACACGAAACAGCCGTAGACGAGTATAATTTTCCATTGAAAGGAGGATGGTTCGGTCCCATGCATAACCTAGCCCTAACTCTCGCCAATTTGATAGACCCGAGTTAGGTGTACACGTGTATGATCCTGAGGTACAAATTGATCTGGCATATACATGTGATGTGGTATTGCACTAGTTGTATGTAGTAGTGATATCATGGATACTCCTGCCTTGGTGAGGTTGATGAGTTTCTAGTTTGCTTGTCCAACTGGTTTCCATGGCCACCATCCACGATCGTACCTTCCTGTAAAACTTCAGCTTCTGTTTACCAACCTCATCGTACCTTCCTGTTGCTATTGCCCGTTGCTAGGGAATCCCCCAAATGTTATTTATTTGCTCCCTCCACTGTTTTTCTTTTCTTCTTTCTCCTCTCCCCATGCCACTGGCTATTTTTCATTTGCACTTGCTCTTGATTACCAAAACCATTTCTTATTGCTTTCAAAGCTATTCAAAATGCACCCCTCTACCTTTGGTAAACGGGTTCCCTCTTCTCGCATCCTGCTTTCTAAAAATCGCCCTCCTCCTCTGAAGTCATGCCTTGCCGCAGCGGACTCTGATCGGGACTCCCCCCTCTGGAGAGCCTTGCGTCCGGAAGACAGTACACTTCCCCGACGACAAGTGCTTCCTAGAACGGGTCAGGGAAATCCCGTGTCGACCAAATCGGAACAAGAAGGAACTCTTCAAAAGTGGCCGGCTCGCGGAGACGAAGTCGTTCATCATGTACACTTCGAATCCTCTGGGCTCCAACCAGAGGTTCCTCTCCAAGCATCCTGGAGGTAGTGGGCCTCAGTACGCCACGCAGTCCCCATGGGTCAGCGTTGTACGTGCCCGTTACCTCGCCGCGAAGTATTCGTCTGCCCCACGTGCTCCGCGGTCCACACCTTCCTCCGATGGAGATGTTTCAGCGCACGAGTCTTCCTTTGATATGTCTTCACTGGAGGATGCCCTGCTTGAGCCTACCCCCAGTAGCTCACTGCATGGGTCTTCCTTTGATATGTCTTCACTGAAGGATGCCCTGCTTGAGCCTACCCCCAGTAGCTCACTGCATGGGTCTTCCTTTGATATGTCTTCACTGAAGGATGCCATGCTTGAGCCTACCCCCAGTAGCTCACTGCATGAGTCTTCCTTCGACATGTCCTCCGTGATTCATGCGCTGCCTGATCCTGACGTGACTTTCGACATGTCCTCTTTGGCCGATAGCCTGCCTGACACGAGTGCCTTCAATATGGCTTCGCTGATGGATGCCCTGCCTAAGGTTTCCCCCCTGGTTCACCAGATGGGGTTGCCTCTGACATGTCCTCCCTGATGCGTGCACTCCCCGACCTTGATGCTCCCTCTGTTGCATCGTCCCTTGCACGTGCCCCCAAGTCCATGGCTGCGACCCACTCTCGCGAGTCTCGCAAGCTAGCTCCAAAGGTTCATGCGCGTGTGGTTCAGACCCGCGTCGTCCAGGTTGGCCCGTTCTCTGCCACCTGTTTCATCAACCTTTGTGGGCTCATGGTTTTGTTGGGCTCGTTCTTCCCATGCCTTGCCCCAGCATTTTATGCTGCGCTTGTGCTCCTCTTTATCTATGGGACGTGCTTCTTTTGATGCTGACGGTCTGCACTCATGTCCTCAGAGCGCTCGGCGGGCTTGGCTTCCTCTTCCTTCCTCTTCCTTCTCCTTTTTGTTATTGTTGCTTTCTGGGTCTGCTTTCTGGGTCTGCTTTCTTGGCGTTTTGTTTTGTTCTGTTGAGGCTTTTGCCGTTTGATTTTGCGAAAAGAAAAAACCCCCAAAAAAATTGCTTTCTGTGTCTGTTCGTTGGCGTTGTTGGCGTTGTTGGCGTTGTTGGCGTTGGTGTTTTTGAATTCCTTTTCTTGTTTTGAGGTAAGGACTTGGAGACATGGGGGCAACGTCTCTGTCTGTGATCGCGAGGAAGGCAGCAGAGCGTGTGGTGGCTTCATCTTTTGTCTTTCAAGGTAAATGATCCCACTCCTCCTGTCTTTTATATTATTCTAACACCACGTCTTCCAGGGAGGATATGGCGAACGTCTCTGTCTGTGAACGTGCGGAAGGCAGCAGAGCGTGTGGTGGCTCAATTGGATGGCAACTATGGTCAGCCCTTGTCAAACATCTGGTGTATTCAAGAGCTAACATCACGATCAATTTCAGGTGGTTAATGGGCGTTGCCATCGACCGAACGTCTCTGTCTACGGAGAGCAGCAGAGCGTGTGCTGACTTGCTTTCCCCCCACCTTTACCCCACTACTTTCAGAAACAGCATGGTTGAACTGCAAAGTCTTCCTGCTTCGTGTGCTGACATCTTATAGCTCGGTCAAACGTCTCTGTCTGTGAACATGCGGAAGGCAACAGGACGTATGGTGGCTTTATCTTTTTTTTCTTCCAAGGTGAATATGTTTCCACCTCGTCGCTCTTCGTTTTGACTACATACTAACCGCATATTTTCCTAGGGAGGGCTTCGGGAACGTCTCTGTCTGTGAACGTGCGGAAGGCAGCAGAGCGTGTGGTGGCTTCGTCGTTTTTCTTCAAGGGTAAATATGATCCCACTCCTCCTGTCTTCTATCTTATGCTAACACCACGTCTTCTAGGGTGGATACTGGCGAACGTCTCTGTCTGTGAACGTGCGGAAGGCAGCAGAACGTGTGGTGGCTCTCCAAAAAGGGCGAAAGGAGTATGTTTTATACCTCTGCCCATGGATTTCTGTGGTTGTGCTAACTGACTTAGTAGTGCCCGATGGTGTCCTCCTACCTCTTTCCTTTTTTCCTTCTTTTTTCACCATGTGTTCTCGCAGTGCGAGGGGTATGGAGAAGAAAAAAATGAAGTAGAAGCCGAGTACATACGTATGTTCAAACAGTCTGTGCGTGTATCAAGTACAATCCTAGAATGTATTATGCGTGATCACTTGGAGTCACAATGGACTTCATGCTTTGGCCTTTAGGGTCCTTTTTTTCGTTATACAGTACTAGTGAACCATAGGAGTCCGGTATTGCGCGAGGGCTCGGAATATGAAGCGGGGGTGATTCTTGCGAGCAGGCTGAAATCATTTCTTGTCAGAGACCTGGGGGGTGCGAGGGTATCATGAAATGCATCAATTAGCCAATCTTTCCAGCCCTGCTGTACAGAATATCTTGAAACTGGTGTCACCACCAACTCTAACGCATGCCTGCCACTCCTACTCCCTCGGACCCAGCACAAAACTGAACTCCTTCAAAACCGGCGAACGCTTCCACCTTGCAAAGAGCTGCCCATTCTCCACCAAGATCTGCCGTAGCACCTCCCCCCTCTCCACCTCTGTAGCAGGCCATACACCCTCCCATACCATCACATATGGCTCCACGACCCCAAAGACCTCCCTTAGCCACCTCCATGCCCTCCCCTCCTCAATCCTCCCAGTCAGCACCATCCCCCGCTCTAGTTCCTCCAGAAAAATATCCCTCTCTCGCCTCTCAACCGCAGCCCGTATCACCCCAAGAAACATATACGACCGCACTGCAAAGTCCAACTCACCCACCTCCGCCTTCACGCTCATCGTCTCCTCCACTGCAACAGCAGCTAAAAACTTTACCTCCTCCTCACTCCCAACCTCTCCCTCCCACCCCCTACACCATGCGTACGACCCCACCCCACCATCCGGCAACCCACACCACATCACCTCACTCTCCCACACGCCATCCATATCCGGCTCAGCAACCTCCCTCCTCGCCGCACTCGCCTCCCACAGCTGCGCCGAGTACTTTGCTTCCCACGCATACAAATCATACGCTCCCTGCGCGACCAGTATGCCGAAGATATTCGGGCCCCACACTTCCCGGGAAACTGCCTTGGCTGAGCCAGACCGGCCAGGGGAACCGAGCCCCATGTACTCAAGCCAGAAGCGCGCTTGCGTCTCCGAGTAGGGCGGCACGCTAGTGTAGACCGTGCGCAGGCGCGTGATGGTCGTCTCGAGTGTGCTGAGGGCTAATCCAGTGAGAGTCGCGAGCGGGAGGGACGGCTGCCTGCGGTGCGTGCACACGACACTGTGGGCCCAGCGGGGTAGTTTCGTGGCGTGTGCGGGGGCTCGCTGGCGCGGCAGCCCCAGCGGGGAGTCAGAGTCAGGTAAGTCTTGGAGGTCAGGCAGGCGGTAGAAGCGCGCTGTGGTGCGCTGGGTAAGGAAGGCAGTGGAGTAATAAGAGCGCCATGCGGAGGAGTGGAGGAGGGCGTGGTGTGTGGTGTAGAAAGACTGGAAATCATCAGGGGAGGGGAAGTCACCCTCAAGTTGGTTGGTGGAGCGGTAGATGGCCGCTGCGAGCTGGGCGAGGTAGAATATATCCAGGGTGCTGTGATTTATCAGTCTTTGTACTTGTAGTATAGTTCATATCCTTGAAACTTACCGATTAAACCTCAACTCGCCCGCGCCGAACGACCATCCACGCGCGTGCAGCTTCTCGACAACATCAAAGACGCCACTGTCGAGCCACAGCTCCTCTTCCATATAGATGAATGCTATCCGCAGCACTTTCTCGTGGCAGTCCACCGGCACCACGCCGCCTTCGACGTCAGCGAGGAATTCTTTAGCGCTCATGGCGAACCCTCTGATAAGTAACTGATGATGATGGTGGAATATAAACAAGATCCTCAATCGGTATGCCAGGGGTCAGGATGCAAGTAAGAGCTGGTGATCGATGTTGTTAAGTCTAAGCACATTGAAGCTACCATAGCCATGAGCCACGGCAGAAAAAAAGGAGAGTCACAGCCGCGGGGCCTGTACGAAAAGGAATTGGGATGCAAATCATGTATACCCCCGGGACGAAGAATTGGTCGAGAAGAGAATGAGATTTTTTTAAAAAGCGTATATCGGATTTTGTTCAGTTATAATGTATTCCACGTGCTCATACAAATAGCATGATCGGTATTTCGGGGAAGCTTGTCACTTAGGGCTAATTGTCACAAAGCCGATTCCGAGACCCGAAATCTGCCATGTGATGTTGCGTCTGTCTTTTGCGGGCGACATTAGTACATACAGACTTATAAGTTAGCTTATTTGTATTGCCGGGATGGAACCGGATATTTTTATCAATATCAATATTATTAGCCGATGGTCCTCTTCAGCTCTCGAAACTCGAATGTCGAGGATTGTTATATGGGACTACGGCTACATCAGAAAGAAATTAATGCAAGGAATTAAAACAAAGCATATTAGAAGAATATTCGAGACTACCACTAAGGCGAAAAGTTAATCTGTAACAAACTCGTGATGCAAGAAAGCGCCATCATAACACCAACCCATGACAACAATAAGAGAAGACAGCACGAACTCGCAATACCACTAACAAGATCAAGTAGATGTTTGTGTATGTTGCAAGAAGGGGAATAGTTGTAATGAGACAACCCGCAAAGCCCGGCCAGCTGAGAAAAAACTCTATACAAGTCGTGACGTGTAAATGCGCTGAAACAGATCCAGAGAGGTGTAAAGGGTGTGTGTGGTGAGGTTACGGGGGAAGGGTATGAGACGCCAGAAACCGGAATGGATACAAGCTCCAGTGCGAGATATGAGATAATCAAACGCTCAACGGATCGAAGGATAGCAAGAAAGATGAAGATAGGATGGGTGGGTGGATCATGGACTGGGGGAAAAAGAAATATGCCATGCAGAATGACAAACTCAGGTATCCGACGAATGGACTACGGTGGTGTAGGGGTTTGGCCGAACTCGGCGTGGTCGTGAGGCTTATTGCGAGATCGCATATACATGGCATCGGAGGCCGCGTCGGCCGCCGGGGAATCAATCGCGCGGGGAAGACTTCTGTGCTGTTGCTGTTGTTGGGTCACAACCTCTCGTGCGTAGAACTCCACCAGCATTGTCCCATACGACTCTAGTTCTTCAACGGTGATAGCGAGTCGGAAGTCATTCAGAAGGAGGAATTGTAGTTCCAAGTGGTTGAGCTCCACCAGTGGAAGACCGCCAACCTGTATATCCGATCATGATTAATTGTGATCCACGACTCAGATATAAGAATCAAATACCTTTGCATAACGTGAATTGGTGTAGAAAACATCAGAGAAGAACTTGCTGGCACAGGTCACGGCAGCAATGACCAGTCGATGGATATTAAAACTATCAACGACAAAGAAATGTGAAAGTGCCTCGGCATCCGACTGAGGTGAAAGGGCAGGTGAAATTGAAGTATTCGACCCTTGCGGGTCCTGCGCAGTAAAGCCTGTTGATGAGGGCGGGGGGTCGCCATTAGAGAATCCTGCGCCTGATGGGCCCCAGGAGATTCAGTAGATGCGGACGAAGATCCTGATTCTTCGGCAGAATTCCAACGGTGGTGCAGCTGGTCGATCTGATCACGGTTGACCAGCTCGGTCATGCGGTCGAAGTAGACCAGCAAGCTTAGAAAGACTTCGTAGGTGGTAGGACAATATTTGTGGATGCGAGTCAAGTAACTCAAGATGGTGATGGTCGGGACATTCTTGCCGTGAAATGCGAGTACGCTGGTAGCCTGTGGGCTAAGGTTGGATGTGCCCTCGGGCGGCGGGATATGGCGATGTACATGTTCATGATGCATATCGTTCGTAGTCGTGATCTTGGTCAGAAGCCCAGCGACCATCTCGATAATCTCCGTGACCGGCATGGAGCTAATCTCATATTGTCGGTGGTGCGATCCAGTTCCGGGAGTGTGTGAGCTCCGTGATCTCATTAGGTCCTCACTGGCGAGACTCTGAATATGGGATAAGCTTTGGACGCGAATGCGACTCGGCGAACTGGCTTCGGAGCCTGGCACAGACTGCATGGACTGGTAGGTGGGTTGGAGACGCGGTGAATCCGGCGCTGACCGATTAGAAGAGTATGAGTTGCTCCCAGTCTGGGTTGGTGGGGTAAGTGTTGAGTGAGAGTCCGGAGGAAATGCATGGCTCGGATGAGACGTCATCGAGGGCGGTCGTGGTATGAAGGTAGGAGTATCGGAAGAAGCGCGGGAAGCTTGAGAAGGTGTGTATGGGTCGATGTAAGCCGGCACATCATTCGCATGCACAGGAAGCCGAGCAGAGCCTACGGACGGTGGGGCAGTAGAGGTGGGGGTGGAGGAGGAAGTCGAGTGAGTGTCCATTGGCTGGGTGAAAGAATAAACTGAATCCGAATTGATTGCGCCTCCCAACGTGTCGATATGATCCGACGGCACGTGGTTGACGACGACGGAGCCCATGTCAAGGCTATCGTGGTCTGTTTTTCTGCGGGAACACGGGTCAGCAAGGCGGTCGCAGCTCGGACTCTGTTGCCACTATAAACCGATGGGAGATCGGATGGAAGAATCGAAAATGATATATGGAAATACCAGGGAATGGAGAGATAAAGAGAGGGGGTCGAATACACTTTCGACTACCACAAGGGCTAGACCACAGATCAGGGAAAAATCCCCGGTTTAAGACGAGAGAGAGAGGGAGGTGGAAGATCAGCGACAACCGATCGAATCCATTGAAAATAAAATAAAAAGGTAACAGGCGAGAGCGAAGAGAAGAACAGGGATAGCAGGAATAGCAGGAATACTAACAGGAATAACAGGGGAAACTAACGCGTAAGTAATATGGGAAGTTGGGGAAGTGGAGGGAGTTTGGGTCAAGGTGAGGTCAGTGAGGTCAGTGTGGTCCCCCGAGACATATGAAACAGGATTAAGACACTGAACATTGGGCTTTATAATTGCTGTTTGGACTAAATATGATATAAAGACTCTTCTCAAGACTCTTACACACTCTTAACTACAAAGACTCTTAAGAGTCTTCAAAGAGATTATCGCCGTACTCATCAAACATATAAAAGACGGTGTACAATGATGTAGAGCTATAGGCTGTATATTGACGAATGATAGAAGGATCTGCATCCCCGTGGACAAGTGGTGATTCAGACATCGGAAATGTCTTAGCCCTATTTACCCTCGCCGGAAGGGTAATACGAGAAGGAATCTATATGAATGTGGATATTTCCCGTATAGACCATATGTTGTACATCTCCCTTTGTCCGGCCATAGACTTGCATTACATAGGAGCATGACAGTTTGTCTGCATGTGGGATGTGACCTGTTCTACCTATGGATCTCCCAAAGTCTGGGCAGTACTGTTCTACAGAGTATTACAGTACCAGATCACTCATTCCATAGTAATAGGCCAAGATATATAAATCCGGGGTTCTCCCCAGTCTATTCAAGTAAGTATACCACTCGGCAGTTATGACCCAATAGCCCGCTGGCCGAGCACTTCCGATCGAGTCCTGGATCTGCTCGGTCCTTTTCTCCCTACATAGCCCGACGATAAAGGTGGGGGGTATAGCAGCACCCGTACCCGTGGACTAGTGTCAGACTTGTCATATTGGCTCTCAGACACAGTATATCCCCGGTGGGGGCGCATAGCTAAATGCGAAAACCGGAGAACTGGGATCATGAAACCATTTCATTGGAGATTGACACAATATTAGATCACTTATTAATTCGTCACTCCCGGCCCAGTGTAGCCGTTGTCTGGCAGGTAGAGATGTCTCACGGCACCGGCCTTGGTCAGGACCACGAGACGAATGACACCACCGGAGCTGCCGTCCCACTTGATCGCCTCCTGCAAAGCACTTCGCACGAAATCGATGCCCTCTTCCTCCGTCATCTGTTCCCGCCAGTGGGCATCGGTATAACCGTAGATGTAGGTCGAGCCCGAACCGCCAATAGCGAACGATTGCTTGTGAAGGGATCCTCCGAGCGGTATCGAGTACACCTGACCTCCGTGTCGTGCATCCCATCCGGCAAGAATGATACCCGCACTATGATTCATTAGCATTGGATTTGGAACAAATGCCGATGATCGAAAGACTCGGGTACAGACCTCAGCGCGTCCTTGTTCTCATAACACAATTCCTGGAAGAGTGATGCGGCAACCTGTGTGGTAGGGGCCTCGGTGTTCGTTACGCCGTACATATTGAGATGGTAAGAGACAATGTCGGCCACGGCTTGAGTGTCTGCGGCGGAACCTGATCGGCAGCACCAGATGGTATCGTGCACCTGTGTCAATTTGTCGGTGACTCGGTTGGCAATGTAGGCACCGGTGGTTGTTCGACTGTCTGCACCCAGGATGACTCCGTCTTTGAAGTTGATAGCCATGCTGTTGGAACGTTAATGGAAATGTTTCTAGATGGTAAGGTTCGAGAGCTCCAGCTCAACTCACATCGAGGTTCCCAAGCTGAACGAAGAACGATAGGTTAGTATATGCTGTGAAGCTCCATGGTAGATAATCTCATCCTGGGTTTAACTTACTTGACCTCGCCGGACTTCAGGTGGTTCATGTCGATGTGAATACCATCTAGAGATGTTAGCTGGTTGCTGTCGGCGGATGACGATAGCTCTCCTCACCTTCACCGAGCATTCCTGATGTTCCATGAGTGGCGACCATTTTGTGCTGTGTTCAGGAGAAAGTGGAGAAAGTAGATAGATGACTTCAATAGACCCGATAAAAGAGCAAGGAGAAGAGGGAGGTCCAGGGAAGAAGTAGAGGTGATGCTATCATGAACACAGGCAGAAGCTCACAACGCGGCAGCTCGGGCGGTGAGGCCCCAGCCCCTGCGATTGACTTATCATATTCCCCGCGAGACTCCTGAAGCTCAAATTCCCTTTTCTTCTGTGGTTATCCCTATTAACTTACCGTATTCATCTCCCGTCGCATTCCAAATATCTGCTAGTCGATAAATTTGCAATACCAGAGTCCCCATACCTCGTTTTCTCGCGTCCTCTATCTGGTCCCCACTCTTAAAGTGCCAGCACCATGTCCGAATCCCCTCCGCCTCCGTCCTGGAGCATCAGCAACATGGCCAACAGTGCTGCACAGTTCATGCGATTGCCGGTTCTTGCATCATCCGGTCTGGCTGTTGTTGCAAGTGGGCTCCTCTACTTTAAGCAAAAGTACGCTATTAGCATCTAGGCCATTTGTTTACGAAGCTAATCACTTTCCCCAGTGAACTAATTTATCCCCGCAATGTCCCCGTGGATGCCCGCACAAATGTTCCCAGTCCTCGCCAATTTGGTATCACCGACTTTGAAGACCTCCAGATCCCCACTCCCGACGGGGAGTCCTTGCACGCCCTTTTTCTTCGGCAACGGCCAGGCCGCTTTTCGCGCAATGTGACAGTTCTGATGTTCCACGGAAATGCAGGCAATATCGGCCACCGCGTCCCCATCGCCAAAGCTTTACAAGATACACTTCAATGCAATGTTTTCTTGCTAGAGTATCGCGGATACGGGATGTCTACAGGCACACCGGATGAAGCCGGCCTTAAGATTGATGCTCAAACCGGCCTTGATTACCTACGACAGCGCCCAGAGACAAGGGATACCGAGATAGTTGTCTACGGACAAAGTTTAGGTGGAGCCGTGGCTATTAACCTGGTTGCCACCAATGAGGAGGAAGGTGATATCGGGGGACTGATCTTGGAGAACACTTTCCTGAGCATTCGCAAGTTGATCCCAAAGTATGTTTTCGAATTATCAGCAAGATTCCCGGGTTTTAATACTGACTTGAAACCAGTGTCTTCCCCCCAGCACGGTATTTGGCACGTTTCTGCCACCAATATTGGACCAGTGAAGATGTGCTGCCTAAGATCACCAAAACTCCAGTTCTTTTCCTGAGTGGACTCAAGGACGAGCTAGTTCCGTGAGTTTGCCTACTCCAAGCGTCACGCTTTCTTTACTAATCTTCCTTAGTCCGTCGAACATGACACAATTATTTGCCGTTTGCAACTCCGAATGCAAGATCTGGCGGACACTCCCGAATGGCGGTCACAATGACTCCGTTGCTGAGCCAGGCTACTTTGAGCACATCCTTTCCTTCATTACGGAAGAAGTTCTACCTAATAAACAGTAAACCGACCTGACTTACTTCTTTGCTTGGGCTTCTCGAATCCCTAGCGAACCCTTTGCCTAGGACCTCCCCTCCCGGGTTTTATTTCCCGCCAAGAAGTGCAAAGACTTCAAGCTTTGCTGCAATTGCTTGGCTGTCTCGCTTTCCGATGGCCAATCTAGACGTCTGGTTAGGCCCTTAAAACATAAGACTCAATTGACAGGAACCGTTGATTATGACCTTGATACCCCTGCCGCGCAACCAAGACATGAATCTCACTTTGCATCCGTTCAAACGATCACGGCCATACATGGCCCTGATGAATTCCTTTATTATTCTCGAGCCCTCGGGGTGAAACATCATACCTCCCATTTGAGAATGGCTCTTTTCTTCTTTCAATCTCACCTTGTGATTTACATTCGATTCTTGTTTCCTTCTTGTTTCCTCCTTGCTGACTGTTATCATACTCGCGGTGTTTACAAGAATATCGGGCGCTGGGCGTGTTTCTTTTCTCTGCTTAATTTTTCGGCGAACCCTTGCCTTTCGCCTTGCTTATCAGCTCCGGCAAATTTCCTTCTTGTGCAAATACTAAACAAAGAGAACCCTTTGAAATCGGTACGAATGTAATAATCTTATTCATGATTCTTTCGCTGTGCAGTCCTAGATCCCTACCAACGACGGGTTACGTTGGCATTGTCCGGTCGTCCTAAAGACTCTTGAGCTTACTTGCAAGGTAGAGGGGAAGCGGAACCCCCGGGATCTAAAGAGCGAGGTCACTAAACAAGAAGCCCATTATCCCCTTGGGTGGCCACAGACTCGGTGACTATCAGCCAATGGGTAACGGCCATCGGTACATTATGTATCGGAATATTGATCAGACGATCAAGGATATTTGCTGGGTTGTGGAGGTGCATAGAACTTTTGGGTGAGAGGTTTTGGGATTGACAATGATACTAAACAGATATAATTTGTGTTTTGATATTAGTGCTTGAATATATTAGAATAGAGATAATTGTCAACGAGTGCATTCTTTGAATCTGAGGCAAGTTGGAATAAAATAATGTTCGATATGCTGTACCAGGATATATATCACCGATTACTGACTGATACGATTTTTCTTTGAACGAACCCATGCATAATAATCCACAAGCATGTTCGTGTCACTTCTTTATTTATCGGAAACCACATGCATACAAGGTTGGCAGTTAGGATGGCGATATACTGGAAATCTGTTTTAGAATCAATGGCCAATCTTTTGGAGACATCCATGTCTATTATTGAAACCACGAGAGTTTAAAGTCCCAAAGATATATAAAACCATCACACAAATGGAATGGGGAGATACATATAATACACGCCACAAGGTTTTAGTACAAGAGAAACAAACTACGGAAGTTTCTCGGCCTCTTCCACCAGTTCCTCAACCTTGAAGTTCTGAACATCACCCCGGGTGAACATGCGAACAAGCTCACTCTTCCGACCAGCAGCCTGTCCCTCAAAGTCATAGAAGCGCTGCAGACAGCTGACAAGCCAAGTTGCCTGTGGGGCCGAAACACCGCCCTCGGGCATAATCTGGCCATGCATAAGAACAAGACCCTTCTCATCCGCTAGATCGAGGTGGTGAGTAAGAGTAGTGTGAGGCTGGGCAAACGAGCCATGCATCTTGTAAGCAGCCAGATTCGTGAAGATAACAGTAGAGGTGTGGCTATTCGAAGGCGACAGAGTCGATCCCTCAGCAGGCGGGTGGAAAGCCCATTGGAGGAAGTGAATATCGGCAACGGTGCCAACGGCTCCCTCGGGCGATTGCTCTGCCTCTTCGGCAGTCTGCGGACGCGGGAGGGGCAAGATGAACTGCGGATTCTCGCGTCCGGCATGCATAATGCGATTGTATGTGTCGAGAGGGATCGCCGCGGTGATGGCGTACGGGTTCTCTGCAAAGCGGAGACGCCAGAGCGCTTCGATCTCCTTGACTGGGAGCTCGCGGACCTTCTCGATATCCAGGTAGGAGCTGAGGGCCTTGACGGGGCTGGAGTCGCTGGAGACAGCGCGTGCAGCCTTGGCGATGCGCGATTCCTGTGGGGGAGGGGGTGCTTTGAATGCTGGGGGTGTGCCTGGGACAGTGGTGGTGGATGTAGGAGCTCCAGGCTCTGGGGTAGCTGGGGTGGATGCTTTGCGGCGGAGTTCTTTGATTTTTTCGGTATAGGCTTCCTTCAAAGACTCGACTGAGTCATGTCCCTCCCTGGATAAAATACTTAGCATTAAAGCAGGAGGATTTGTTAAGGAAAGTTTGCTCACTCTTTGGCCTTCTGGTCCAGCTTGGACCGATACTTTTCGAAGACATACTTGGGATCGTGGTGTGAGGCGAGGAAACGGACGTCGTGGACTTGCGCCCACCGGCGCTGCTGATGACGCAGCAAGTGGGAGTTGCCACGGACCACCGATTGGAATCCTTGTAGTCGGAATGATGGCATTTTGAGTCTAAAGAGTAAATAAAATGAAGCTCCGAATCTCGAAATGCCGGGCCGGACTATCAGATGACATAATTACTGACATAAGCATATTATTTGTCGCCATATTATTAAGGCAAAACGTGAAGGAAGCCAGGCATCAATATTACCTCATTAGGACATGTGGGGGTCCCTTATATTTTACTGAAGAGTAAGTATTTCAAGAATCCTCACTGGGTAGACCAACCGTTAGCTGCTATGCTTCTGCGAGCCCGGGGCGGTGGTGAGCAGAATTGCCATATTGGGCCGTATCGGAGAGACCGATGCACCGTTCAACACAGCATCAAGAGGATTCTTTTTTTTTTTACCCCTTGGGCTTCAGAGTAGGTAGCCATAACATGCAACAAAGGACTACAAAAGTAAGTATTGCTATACAGTAAAAGAAATTGAAACAATACACGTCTAGTTTTTCTAGCATGGTATCAATTCTCCAAATCTCCATGTTGAGCTTTCCAAGTTACACCTTTCGATCCTTTTATCTGTAAATAGTCACAAGGCTACTTTTTTTCTTTTTTCACTGTTCAAAGTAACTGACTTGACTAAAAATCAAGAATTAAAACAAAAAACCGTGAACATACCATCTGTACCTACCTCTGTTAGCTCCAATATGCTATCTCTGTTTCTACGGTGTATCCGTGCATGTTTTTGAGGAAATGGATTGATTGATGTTCAACAGGCAACCTAAGTACCACCTAATGATTGCAAAAGTCTTTCCTACCATTTCACATCTCCATACATCCATAACATCCATAACTATACACCTGTACATGGACCCACCCGTGTCCATTAGTCAGCACATCATTGCCCAACCAAGGCTGCCCATGTGGAATGGGCCCTGAACTATAACCTTAAAGGCACCGTCATCTACCTAAATCCAGCTCCTCAGAAGCAAACCCCTCATCTACCAATATCCCCATCTTTCTGACATTCCAATCTTCCCCATCTCAGAAAAGGGAAATAAGGAACCTAAAAAAAATGCCAATCCATCAAAAAGAATTCTCCACCCCACCACCCCACCCACCAGTGGGCACGCCCAAGGACTCCCCGTCCGCACTACCCTGGTACTCCATCGCGCCGGGGGTATGGGAATTTCTGCTAAACGGCGACGGAGAGCACAAGGCTGTGCTACAGTGGTGGGAGCCAAATACTGTCTCTGCACAGACAGAGCCAATAACACATACCTACATCGAAGAGGTCTGCACTCTGCGCGGCGGGCTGGAAGATCTGTCGCTCGGACAGACGTGGAGTATTGGTGCCTATGCTTACCGTGAGCCTGGGATGAAGCATGGGCCGTATCAGGCGACGAAGGATGGATGCCTACAGTTTGTTAAGGTCGTGCCGGCGAAGAAGTAGGGCTTGGAGGTTTGAATTTTGAATTTGAGTGTGTAGCTGGGGTCTACGGATATTAATGGCTACTTCTTTGGCTATATGAGATCTGGGTATTGATGATTTGGGCTTTTTTTGGAGTTGTTTTCGAGTGTCTTTGGCTAGTTGATTTTTTCTTTCTTTTTGCTGCAGGCCATGCCAAATATGACACATTCAGGAATAAACAACTCGAGAACTTCATGCAAGGAGTTTAAAAAATCCGGGAAAGCGGGTCGAATCACGATAGAATCAATACAACTTCATTTCTTCTCTAAGAAAAAAAATGGTGGCCTCCCCCAACTTGGGTCACAAGTGATAGGAAGATCTACTCGTTTAAACTAGCCGCGTAACGGGTTCTATGCACGTGTGTTGTTAGCGAATCTCAATCGGTCCTACCCCAAACGAAGGGACCAGGCGGGCCAACACCTGTTAGGATTCCTATGTTCTGAGAGATCTCGCCCTGGCTCGATCACACGGGTTCTTGCGATTAACGAAAGGTGTACAGCCTTGGGCCTAGAGACTGCACCGACGGTCAGATACAACTGAGCTAAGTGGGGCTTGGGGTGAAATAACTACTCGGTCTGATCATAATAACAGAACCTTTTTAAAATCTGTCTAGTAATTCGATTGGCTGGATCTAGGTCTTCTCAGTTGAGTAATAATGAAGCTATTCAGAGTTCCGAGGTCCCTTTGATACAATATTCTATCGTGTATGATGAGACTCCAAACTCCAAGTTAATGCAAATGACTTCGCAAAGAATGAGACATGTTCAACGCTTTTGAAACATTTTTTCATTTTGTTTCTCAGGTCATCAATCATCAAATCCTGTCCGAAGGTTTAGACCGGCACATCTGTAACAGATGCTTCAACCTGAGTTGCCTCAGCCTGAGTGGGGCGATCTTCCGCAGAAGTCTCGGTCTCAGGCGCAAGTTCAGATTTTCCCTCAGGGTCCTCACGGACAGCTATTTCCTGGTCCTGGTCCTGGTCCCCCGCTTCCTCTTTCTCTTCCTTCTCCTCGGCCTCTTCCCAATCATCAACAACCGCAGTCGCAGGGGTCTTCGCACGCCAGGACTTCCCTACCCCAACGCCAGATCTTAGAACCAAGCGTTCCTTCTTCGCCCCGTCACTATCGAGAGCTGCATAGATTGACT